ACTGATTTATTGTTAATAATTATATGCTACACAGCAACACACCTGATGTATTTCTTTCTCAAAATAAAAACAGTTGTCTGGAAGAAATCGTTTTTAGCGACAAAACCTTTTGTACAAATAATAGCTGTTGACTGTTTTTCAATAATAAATCGTATTTTCGCATTAAAAGTGGACAATTTCCAAAAATATTCGAAATTGAGTTAATATGCGGAATCATTTGGTATCATCAGTATTTTTCTCATAAATACTGTCAAAAGAGCGTAGTTTAGTTTTGTTTTTTTTTTTCAGTTTACCTATATTTTGACTACTATTAACAAAATTAATACATAATTTTATCTTACTTCATAAGACAGATAATGTAACTGGGAAAAATTAAAAAATAAATGTTGCAAAGATGATTAATATTAAAAATATCATGAGTTACACCTTTAAAACACTCTCCTGTAAAATTTAGTAAGTTTTGAGATTATACAGTTTTAATGCGAGAAGACGAAATGTGTTTTAGTGCACTGTAAGATATAATCTCTCTATCTACATGGCTCATTCTCTCTCTCTCTCTCTCTCTCTCTCTCTCTCTCTCTGTAATCTCGTCAAATTGGATTTGCTCATACTGATGTGTGGGCCCGCGAAATGTCACCGTTTGGCAGAACACTCGTTAAATATTTGACAGAGTGACATGAAATCGGCGATTGACCCAAAAACCGGTCCGTGTCGTCGGATGTGCAATATCGAAGTTTTATTGGGAACACGACCGCCGCCGCGCCGCAGGAATTTCAAATGGTAATTCATTATGAAGAAGGACCAGTGGAACTACAACATACATACATTATAAAAAAAACCCGTCATAAGGATGAATTAGCTTGTATTTTTAACATTTGTTACGTAAATAATGTCGGGAAAAAAAAACACAAACAGTAAATAATAACTAATTAAAATGTAATATGGCGTACTTTAATGCTGTGATACGTCTCTATTTGTTGACCGTTGTGGTCCCTTAAAAATTAATATGAGATAAAATTCCATCAATCACTACCTTTTAATACGCTAACAAGAATACCGTAAAATGGGGCGATTAGGGATTGAGAGGCGAATCAGGAAAAAACCGGGAAAATCTTTCGACGCTCAATATTAGTCTTATATTCGTTGCAAAATCTTTCATTTTTTGTAGTTTAATAGTAGAATGTTGAAAGTTCACAAAACAGCTCTGAATATGCATGATATTATTTGCTAACTTATAAAAAATCGCGTTTCAAATTAACTTCTTGTGGTAGTAATTATTTTAGTGCTAGAAACTTTGTTCTCTTTTATTTATTTGATAATAATAGAAGACGACTGTGATTTATAAACGTTATTTAGTATTTGAACCATCATATATATTAAAGGTAAGTCTCAGTTGTTATTGGTTTTAATGTATTTGATAAAATAAAAATACATGTAAAAATCTGTTGTTTTTGGGGATATTGGGGACGTCTTAGGTACAAATAACAACGAAAAAGGGGTCAATTGGGATGAGAATACGTGAAATGGAAACGACCTCAGTATAAATAGGTACAGGTTTGTAGGGTTGTCTATGTAGTTATAACAATATTTTTTAAATTTGTTGGTAAAATCTGGTTTATTCATGATGTTTTTGTCTAGAACTTTTATTCAAAATTATCAATGTGTTATTTTATTGCTTGGTAAATATTTATATTATCAGTTACGTATTGTTTTCTATTTTTAGATATGCCTCGCGTGTACGTATCAAAGAGTGCAAAGCCTTATTTAATATTGGTTCAGAGTGGGGGTATTCATCTGATTAATCCATGGAATAGCTGACACACCTAATCTCTTAACCCAGATAAAAATATCAGCCCCTAAGTACTTACCAAGAACGAAGAAATATAAACCGTTTATAAGAAAGCCCACTCGTTCGAATTTAGGTGCTTACTCTCCCATATACAGAATCCTTTGGGACTACAATAATGTCCATGGTAGCGTGGTCTCCGTCAATGTTCTTTCGGAGTTGTCCGACTGCGCTGAACTAATTTTAAGTGATGAAATAGATGTTTTTTTAATTGTCTCACAACTTACAGGACAAATCTGTCGCGGATCATTTCCCAAGTAAATATAAATTAATCATAAGTAAGTAAATGTAATCAAGTTTTAGTTATATATATATATTTTTGTTGTTGTTAATGCACTGTCTATTGCACCTATAATTGAGGTGACATCTGCCATGTACTTTTGTCAGTTTTTCAATGTTTTTAATTGATGATTACTTTGTTGGTGCAACTAAATAAATTCAAACCAAGTAGTGCCAACCCTAGCAAATTTCTCATTTCGTCCCAATTAACCGCAATTTCCGGATAAATAGGGATTACACCTATTTTTGTTTTTTTTGCTTAAACTGGAATGCTAGTTGCATAGTTTTAAATTGGACAACAAAGATGCCCCCAAGACTCAATAATTTTGATCCTGATATAGCATTATATACATCAACAACTACTTTAAAATTGGTCATAAAGTTGGAATTTGTCCCTAATCGACCCATTTTACCGGTACTTGTAAAGTCGAGAATAAGAAATGTGAGGGGCAAAGGTATCCATTCGCGCCAAAACCATATTTTGAATTATAGGTTATTAAAAGTCAAAGGAATAGTGATTAAAATGCTTAAACATAAATGTTTTTTTGCGGTATATTGCGAATCGCCTTAAGTGAACCTTTTAAAAAAAATTAAATGAACATTTCTTGGCCGCTTTAAAATATACCAAAGCAATTTCAACAATACAATTCGGCTAAGATTGCGAACCGACATTGCCTTGAGATAATAACTAGGGTCCACTTTCTCTGCAGCGAATAACATAAAACCGGATCGAGCAAGCGTATTTATCGACTAATTAAATAGAAAATTATGTATAGTTTTTATTTTAATAAACATACTATTCTATGTCAGATAGAAAAAATAAAACAATGAACTGATTTAGGGAAACGATTTATAAAGACGGAAAAAGACGAAGGATATTTCTGCCGTGAAGCAGTAATGCGTTTCGGTTTGATGGGTGGAGCAGCTGTTGTAACTATACTGAGACCTTAGAACTTATATCTCGAGGTGGGTGGCGCATTTACATTGTAGATGTATATGGGTTCCAGTAACCACTTAACACCAGGTGGGATGTGAGCTCGTCCACCCATTTAAGCAACAAAAAAAAAAAAAAAATAATATCAAGAAATTTCTCTGATGGCATGCGAAATACACCGGAAACACACACATAACAATATAGAATCATCTTTAAAAAGTTTAATGACTTCGAACGGGTACCATAAATATCCTATTCCCCTGATATAGTCAACTTACGAACTACTAGACGCATGAAACTGTCAAAATATCCGTCATCAATAAACTAAAATGATTCTGTCAATATTGACAACAGTAAGTGATAATGTAATGCTCATAAATTTATATCACGTTCGTCACTGAGTACACATTAAAACTTTTATTATTAAACCCGTTAATTATTTCATAAATATGAGTTCCGTCTAGTCGACGTCTGTGTAACACTTTCACTTGGCCACACGTCATCTGTATCATCAATTTGTCGAGATAAAATCTTTTAGTAAACACCATTTTGCACTGAGAACATTCTAATTAAAACTCCTTAAAACATTTTAGACGCAGCATCGTGAAAAATATGCTATGCATCTTGCCGATAAAATCTATGAATTGATTGTTTATAATTTTAAATATTTAATACATTACAAAAACAATACATTTAATTTAAACAAATAAGGGTAGAATGTGTTTAGCAGATTAACGGATAATCATAGTATTTATTTTGCGATAATTAATAAAAAAAATTATAGATAGAATTGGTTTATTTGATCTTTAAAAGCAGAGAAGATCATTTGATAATAAATTATTCGAATAATCGTCAGGAAATCTCTTTCGGCTACTTCTTCTAGAACCCCGTCCCTCTGTAGGACTTGCTTAAACTTTTTATTTTTACCTAAGATTGTTTGAATTGTTGAAGGAATCATGGAATACTTGAGCCCGTTGGTCTCAATAGGCCATGTTCCATAAATACTGCTTTGAATTAATACTATTACCTCTTTTTGACCATTTTTGGAGTACACCTTATTACCAGGCCTTTTTTTTCTATCTATATCTATTCTATTGCCGCACATCATCCAACCCTAGAAACTGCTTTTTTAGGGGTTTCCTTAACTTCGCGTCCCAGATACTATTTGAAAATAGTAGCTTGGCTATGCCCTTCGCACTGCTGATACCCATGAGCGACGGTAAACACTCATTGTCATATGAGTTTTACTAATGGGACGATGTGTAAGACAAGCCATAGCCGGGCAGGAACGCTCACCTTGCCTATTTCTACAGCAAAGCAACTGTGGGTTCTGGTTAGATAAGAGAACCCAAACTCTGAAGGTAGGTTAAGAGATTTACTTTATGGTATTAATAGGAATCGGTTAACCGGTGAGCCTTGGGCATCTCTGTCCATTTAAATAGTACTATTTATTAAATAAGATATTATTAAGTCTTCTGATGAATGATATCTGATGAATGTCGTTTTGAATGCGACTAGAACGGTATGTTCCGTGACTTTTGTGCCCCAATCTAGACTAGCCTTGTGGCATCAATAAACGCAGCACAAATGTATTGCATGCACTCTTCAATAAGGTCGTCGAATGATTGACGTGGAACATGCACAAAAAATGTTGCGTAAAATAATGGTACTATCGAATCTTTAAATAATGTTCATGTATTTTTATGGCGGCTTTTAGCGTGGACAATATAATTACAGATTCATCTCATCTAAATGAAACGATTTCACTTGTTCCTGGTATTTTTGGTGGGTCTCCTCTAATTTCTTCAAAGCACTTGAGGGTCTTAATTTTCCTACGTTTACCATAAAATTTATTGAAACCGGAGATGTATCTGAAGGACCTAANAATCTTTAAATAATGTTCATGTATTTTTATGGCGGCTTTTAGCGTGGACAATATAATTACAGATTCATCTCATCTAAATGAAACGATTTCACTTGTTCCTGGTATTTTTGGTGGGTCTCCTCTAATTTCTTCAAAGCACTTGAGGGTCTTAATTTTCCTACGTTTACCATAAAATTTATTGAAACCGGAGATGTATCTGAAGGACCTAAACAAGCATCTGTATTTATGGCTTTATTTGTGGTTTTAGATGTTGCACGTTTTTTTTTGTGTTGTTTTTCCTCTGGCTGTTTTCCTTTAAGTTTGAATAGTTCCGTTTCTTTTGCTAAGTTTTGCTGCAACTTTTGAAAGGGTTTCTTTGGATCCAAATCACATTGTCTTCTAGCATGTTGTATTTGAGTTCTTTGTCCACCAGCTGATTTGGTTTTCAATGCGTATAAATTCTCTGTTGTTTTTAAAGTTTTATATTGCGATGTTTTACTAACTAAATAAGAAGCTTTTTGTTCATTTTTTTCTATTACAATTTGTTTGCGATCATCATTTCTTTTTACAGAATAATTATTACGGTCTTTAGCGGATTTCATCTTCTCATCTGCTTCAATGTTTCTCTTATAAATTTTTAATCGGTTTTCCATTCTAACTTTTTCAGAATAGCGCTGTAAACTTCTAGCTCTTTCTAATCTTGGTTTGATTCTCTCCAAATCGGGGCCCAGGCCACCGAGTTTAACATTTTCCATATGATGTACAGTAGCCCTTCTAGAACGATGACGAGGCCGTGATACCTCTGAAACACTCTTAAAGTTGTCGTTAACATCTTCCGGTGAATAACTTAAATCATCAGTGAATCTTAATTCTTCTTCGAATGAATTATTAAAGAATTGATCCATGTCTTTATTTAATATTTTTTCGTAATAAATTTCGTTGTATGGTTCGGTGTTTAAAAAATCTAAACCTGAATTATTTGGCAAAGCGTCAATACTTTCACGTTCCGTATCCCCGAATTCAGGCGATATCGATCGAATTTCTTCTTCATTAGCTTTCGAATGTGTTTTAAGAGGAAGCTGTTTCCTGAACATCTCTAAATAAGATCTGCTCTTTTCTCTTTTACTTTTATTAATCAAATAGTTACTCTGTTGCGTATTTTTATTTTTCCGTTCACTAGTATTAGGTTTGCTGCCATCACGCCTTTTATTATTTTTGCGTTCTTTTGATATTCTAACCAGCACATCTTTTTCATAAAACGGTACAAGTATAGTATCAATATTATTTCTCTCACCATTTGCCTTTATGTTATTTTTAATTTTGAAATCTTGTTCTAAACTATCTAAAGACATTTCGCTGTCTGAACTTGAATATTTATTCATAATTCTAAATGATTTAACTTTATTGCTCAAAAATAAATATGATGACTTCATGTCTGTCTGACATTTGAATGGTACTCGTATAAAAATTAGTAGTTGTCATGTATTTTTTTTAATTTATTACTGTTCACAATGAGATTCGAACAACTTTAGCTATCTTAAGCAATGCATTTTTTTTACCTTCTAACATACAAAATTTAACTACGAGTAATACTGTTATTCAATTGGTGTTTTACTACGATTTTTAATTCGAAATACGATAAAATCTTTTTTACTTGGAATAATGTCATTAATCTAGAGAAAAAAAAGCTTTTTCTTTCCAAACGAATAGAAATAAGATAAGTGGAAGCACATTAAAATACGATTTATCATCGAGTTATCAACGAAATAAATCCAGTATATAAATCGTGGAATTGTCAAAAGTTGAAAAGGGATTGTTGGCGTGTTGCCAGAAATTCTGAAACCAGGGGCGTCTATCGACCGAAGCGCATCTTAAAACAAAGATAATGCCATAGCTACACAGCGTTTAATCTATGGCAACATCTATCTAACTGAAATTAGAACAAATCATGCGATATATTTTTTTTTAATTTCGTTCTGGTTGCTTTATTGCTTAGATGGGTGGACGAGCTCACAGCCCACCTGGTGTTAAGTGGTTACTGGAGCCCATAGACATCCACAACGTAAATGCGCCATTGTAAACTAATTATTTGTAGACTTATGCTCTGATTCAAAATGAGTTATCGGGGCTATAACCGTATTATAAAAAGTCTTTGAAATAATATTATTTATAATAAGTACGAATGAGACATAATTAGAGCGCTCTGAGGAATTGTTTGAGATGATACCATCATCTCGTTTTTACCATCGCACCGCCCGCCACCGGAGTAGAGAGTTCATCCATACTATCTGGAGCCTCTGCGTTCATCCACAGTGCGTTTCCAAAAATCTTTTTTGCCACGTACCTTCCGGCTTTGGAATGAGCTCCCCTTCACGGTATTTCCCGAGCGATATGAAATATCCTTTTTCAAACGAGGCTTGTGGAGAGTACTTAACGGTAGGCAGCGGCTTGGCTCTGCCCCTGGCATTACTGAAGTCCATAGGCGACGGTAACCACTCACCATCAGGTGGGTCGTATGCTCGTCTGCCTACAAAGGCAATAAAAAAAACATAATTAAACTTGTGTTAATACAAACGAACGAGCTGAAAATTTTGTCTATTTGATAATAAAGGTCTGTGCCTAAAATGGCAGCCATATTAATTTAATCAGTTTTCCTATCGGTGTCAACTTGATTATCTACAACGAGTCTCGAATATATTAAGTGTATAATCTATGATTACGAGTATATCACAGGCAAACTAGAATAAACGTAATATTTACATATGGTCGCATTTATCGGATCGTATCGGACATTGGAAATGAAAAATAATTCAAAAAACAACAATCAGCACCTAAAATATATTAAATTAGGAAAAGCCTATTTTCGTAAACTCCAAGCGAACATAATGTAAATTGTGCTTTAATTGTTACGAGAATAGTTGTTGAATTACATTCACTTAAAGTGAGAGTAAATACGAAACCGGTCGTCGGGTGTTGTGACATTGCTGCAAACAGAAATTTCATATCCTTTTCCTTTGCAAATTCTATGAAAGAACTCGAAGTTGAGCAACGTTAATAATTTGAAACCGAAATCTGGTTGAAAGAATTTTAGTGCAAACATTACTGCTTCACGGCAGAAATAGGCAGGGTGGTGGTACCCACCCGCGCGGGCTCACAAGAGGGCGTACCACCAGTAATTACGCAAATAATAATTTTGCGGGTTTCATTTTTATTACACGATGTTATTCCTTCACCGTGGAAGTCAATCGTGAACATTTGTTGAGTACGTATTTCATTAGAAAAATTGGTACCCGCCTGCGGGATTCGAACACCGGTGCATCGCTTCAACACGAATGCACCGGACGTTTTATCCTTCAGGCCACGACAACGCCAATGCCTCGCAATGCCCTTTGAATTCGGAACTAGCATTCGACATTTGGACAGCTTTATCACCCCTCTTACTTAGTTTAGACAGCAATGATTTTGATATCCTACGCATTTGCTGTTTAAATCACATCGACAATTGCGACCTGTTTAATTGAATACGCAATTTCGAAAAGGGCACATCTCTGAAAATGTAAAATGTTCAGGAAATGAAAAAACTGATTATTTTCTAAAGCAGTGTAACTTATTAACTTTTAAGATACATTTTAGTCTTAATTAGCAATTGAAAATTACTAGAATTATTATCTTAAGCGTCAGTGTATACATTTAATTAGATATTTTATATTTGTGAGATATGCCTTTTTCGAAATTGGATATTCAATTATTTTGTTTATTTTAACATCTTTATTCTGAAATAATGGAGGCTACTTAAATGCACCATTCTCCTTTACTTTGTGGAAATATATTATTGTGTATGATCGCATTGTCTGAAAGTGGATAATGTTCGACTGAGATAACGGATTTATAGAGGAACTAAAGAGAGCTCACATGGCTGGCCAACGCATTCCATAATGTCCACCCAGGAAAATGTGCTAATAGAACAATGGGTATTTTCAAACAAAGAAATTCTAAATTTCGAATTTAAATTTTAATTATGCTTTTTTTTTAAATGAGATTTTTATAAGGATTTTAATTTCGAGGCATTTCAAATTTACTACAACTCCATCGGATATTTATTTGTGTTTGTTCTGATGCGAACCGATTGGTAATTATCGAATAAGATCAAATGATTCTTATTCGATAATTATATTCTATATATTCTTATAATCGAATAAGAATCATTTGATCTTATTCGTTTGTTTTTGGGCAACGTTTACACACTGTTCAGGGCTAATGTCAAGTAGTTAACGTCTTAAGAATTATAGTTGGAGTCGTAAATTTTTATATTAGATCACTAAATCAATCACGTCAGTGCTGTTCCATTTTTCCAAAAAAGGATAAACGAGGATTCACACATGCCAATTTATACTATTATTATTAGTCGGGTGAATCAGCTCACGGTGTTAAATGATAATGATGGTCTCATAAATACTGGTGGTAGGAGCTCTTGTGAGTCCGCACAGATAGGTACCACAGCCCTGCCTATTTCTGCCGTAAAGCAGTAATGCGTTTCGGTTTGAAGGGCGGAGCAGCCGTTGTAACTATTCTGAGACCTTAGAACTTATATCTCAAGGTGGGTAGCGCATTTACGTTGTAGATGTCTATGGGCTCCAGTAACCACTTAGCACCAGGTGGGCTGTGAGCTCGTCCTCCCATCTAAGGAATAAAAAAAAAGCCGTCAACCATCTTGAAAAATAAGGTTGAAGTCTGAATGGTATCATATAACTGCTGCTCCATGCTGACCATCGCTGGCCCATCTGATTCTGAATGCTTTTTTTATTGCCTTAGTAGTCAGATGAGCATACGACTCACCTGGTTACTGGTGACTGGTTACCGTCGCTCATAGACGTCAGCAATGTAAGTGACATACTGTCTTCAGATAACAAACACTCTTCAATGCTTCAAGGTAATAATGAGCAGAGCGATCCTATCCGCCCGAGTGGGTTATCTATCATCAGCACATAGTACCTTGTTTATTCTTATTGACACCAACACAAAATATCTACACTTCAATAACAACAGTAAGATTAGTTCGGAACAAAATGTCAAATTCTAATTATAAACTCATGGCTCTAGAGGTGTAGATCTCTATCGAATAGCTACCATTCAAACACAATGGGATGGAAGTAATTTGTGTAACAGTTCCATTTGTGCACCAATGTTAACGACTTCGTGATAATCAACTATCAGCTATGAGGTCAAGCGTTTTATGACAGTGAGAATAATCGAATCTAAATTTTCTATGAATACATTTTTTTCTTTTCTTTTTTGATAGTTGTCAAATATATGGATATCAACAAATTGGTATCTTCGCATGTAAAATACAAACCTTTTGATGGTACTTGGTGGAGTTTAAAATTAATGTACCTACCTATTTAATTGATTAGTTCTGTTGGAACTTTTACCCCAAATTGATTGGCGATGAGGGCTTCAGCCACGCGAAAATGGCGGTTATGGCCAAATTGTACAAGTAATAACGGAAAGTATATATATATATATATATATATAACTGTTTGTGCTTTGTAACTGGCATGTGTACAATTAACAAATGTGGCAGTTCGTATTATTGTGGCGATGATGTTTGTAGTTTACGTATGATGCTATCATTGTGTATAGTGAATAGTTAGTTACGTCTTTCTGTTTCTTCGTATGTCACATTATGAGGGTAGACTTACATTAGATTTAAGGTGAGTTAAGTACTTCAGTGGTTAAGCTTTATGGTTGTTTGGAACTATTTGTATGTTGTTGAACTGTTATATGTAAGAAAATATAATTCTTATTGTTGAAACTGTACCTAACATACTATTTTAATTCAGAAAACCTATGCCTATATCTTGCAATTTGTCAGTAGTCTTATTGTTTCAAAACAATCAGGTAATTGAAGATTCGGGATTTTTCAGTTTTACCTAATTGTATTATATCTGTTATGTTCTTCCCCAAAAATATTTTCATTATAATTTAGATTTAAATAGGATTTTTAGTGAGGTATACTTTTGTAAACCAATAGTACTAGTACTAGTTTTTGATCCATTAGTATTGCTAATTTGAAGTATCTATGCTTACAAATACCAGTGATCTGTTGAATCGTTTAAATAATTAGTATTTTACTATTACTATTTGTAAGATTTCATTCATCGTTAGCCAAACCCGTTTGCCCTTGAACAATCATCAGCGCCATAACGATCACAAGTAATGACTTTGCGATACCGATCACCGACATTTCAAATGACAACCGGAAAGTTAATCTTCGGACGTCCATGTCGTAACCTAAAGGTGAACCACTAGTTAAATGGAAACACGACTTTATTTTGCTTAGGTTGCATTTTGGATATTCACAAAACAGCTATTTTCTTAGCTGTAGGCACAGTTTGAAATACCAACAAGGACCAAGACAATAATTATAAGACAT